TCGCGTTTTATACATTCATTCGCAACATATTCGAATTCAATTATTTTTATAATTTGAAGAATTTAGCTGTTTAAAACTTTATTAATATACAATTGTATGTATAATAAAGAATTAAATAACTATAAATATATTTTCTTGTTGAAAAAAAAAAAAATTAAACTTAATTATATCACTACTGAAAGCCATAAACGTCAGCCGAAAATATTCAAATATCTCCGCTTCGATCATTAGAAACAATTTAAAAACAGAATGATTGAAATTTATTGCAATATGTTGCACATAGTTATGACGATGAATAATTATGAGAAACTGCCGCAAGAAGGGCATGGGTTGGCTTTATTATATGGAGTATTATGACGAGCGTTAACACGCCTGTTCCTATGAATCATCACATGTCTCTGGGATCGCAAAAAGGCATTGCCCTCTTTAGGAAACTCTACTGTCGTTTACGTCAACGATTTCATTCACACATTTCTTTACTTTAGCTTAGAAGGGAAAATTTTTCCTCAAACCATTGACATCACCAGGTCCCTTCACGCTAATCAGAAACGCAATCAGAGTCACGAAACAGACGATTGTTTTCCCTTTCGTGACGTAGTACTACGTACTACTATGCACGTACTACGAATCGACCTTGGTTAACTTCGTTCGAGAAAACGGGGTATCGACATTAACGCCACTGACCCAATTTCACGGGCACACACGTGCCTTAAGCACATAGGAACAAGCACTGCGATGCACTCACATCCGCAACACGGATGACCCGTCCTTCACGACGCATTTAGCGAACGTGACACAATCGCATATGCAAGATAATTCGACACCGCGCTAACAAGCTTCTAAGGATTGTAACTTGACCCGAGTCAAATAAGACAGCCCGAACGCTGGGTACTGTCGTTTGGTCGGCGTAATCATGGGTAGACATTCATGAATGTAAATAGGATCACTTTCATTTGTATCATCAATTTTTGAATACACCGAATCTATATCGTCCCAACTGTATCAATTTACGTTAATGATTAATATTGCTGTGCAAAATAATGATCTCAATGTTTGTACCTTTCTTGGATGTAAAATACCGATATTCTTTTCTAACATATCTATATCAAAAACGTTCGTGAACTGTTTGTCTATTAATATTCTATTGCAAAAAAAAAAAGATTAAAATTAAATATGTATTTCTTAAAACATGCGTATCGATATTATCATAGAGATTTCTGTTTGTTACGGCTGGACATGTTGATAAAAGTTTACCTGTGTATATGTGCAGTGATTATCTTATCGGACAACATGCGCCTCAGAACTATTTCACGAACTTTGTACTGACTATATATATACGAGACAGATTCAACGATTTCTTGATATTCGATAGACTTATTAGGAATAAATCCAAGTCTATTTTACATTAAAAATTCATTTATAGCAATTTGTAAAAAAAGATAGTGTAAATAAAACAATATTATGCCTTCTTGAAAATATTGGAAAATTCAAGTAACTTATCACGGTTCAGATATAATCTCATTAAATCAATATCTAGTAATGAAAATCCTAAAGGAACTCCCATTGAGAGAGAACAAGAGTAAAAGATTATTGCCTATTTAATGACACTGCTTCACGTGTGGAGACGAAAGAAAGATGGGACTCGAAGTGATTTTACATAGTCTACCGCACGCCACTTATATAATGACTAAAGTATCCTCAATCAGAGTGCGATAATATTTTGTTCTTCACGCAGACAAGAGAATGTATACAAATACGCCGCACAATTACAATTTAAATACAAGCCTGATAATCAAGATAATCATATCAAAGTATAATATATAATACAATTACTTTAATATTTTTTAACTACTCTGATATCTCGTAAAAAATAACATTTTGATCTTTCCGTTTTGATCGGCAATTGATTCTCGTAATGGGATATTAACATAATCGATTGATATTACCGGTCGCATAAAGATACGCGAGCGATTAACGAAATGACAGTTTGACAAAATTTATTGACAGTATATTGACGACGCTAATTGGTGAGAGAGCCCATCACTCTCGCGATGGGGCGATCAATAGTCTCAGGGACATAGAGAAAATTGTGTTCACGTTCGCGCATATCTAACAGTATCTATAGATTATACCAATTAAGTGTAAACAAAGGCGGCAGTGTACAAAAGCGGCGCAAACAACGCAATAGCCAATTTCACAAAAGTTTATCCTGGACAGAATACTTCGCCAGGGCAAAACCCCCCCCCCCCCAAAGAAAAACAAAATCAACATTTGAACAACCGATCACGCGTTTTGATATGAATCAGTCACGCTTTAACGTGAATTATTCCGCTACCCGATTACATAAGTTTATTCACGCGGTATCAACGATCATCGTGATGATCCCGCGAGCGTTTAAAAGTGCCGAAGTACAGCGAACGCGACGAATCAATGAAATTTCGTTGAGAGTGCGGATTATTCGCGGCGGGTTTGCGATCGCGACTGGAGTGCGGGAGAAATGCCCCCTCCTTCGTCGTCAAATGTTTGCTTTTGACACGCCACGCACGTAATGCGTTTGTAAACCTGAATTGCCATTGAATCCCAGATTGGGTCAATTGTTGAAGTCGGTAAATAGAGAAATCTCGGATTTCGTACGCTTTTAATTTACCCCGTCCGACCAAGTCACAAATATATACCCAAGTAATCTAAAGGGGCCGAATGAATCGCGTTCGCGTACGATCTAAAAGGAATCCTCACGAGTGCGCTGGGAAAACAACTTCAGCGGCGATTAGAAGAGCAAAGAAAGGCAAAAATGAAAAATGGTCTTATAAGAAAAGTAATTCAAGAGTTTAAAAAAACTTCTTGGAAATTTTCTTTTATCCGACATCCTAGTTATGTAGAATGACCAGGCAAATTTTCGCTCTAAATGCGATAGTTTCTAATCCTGTGTAACTAAATGCGAACGTGGAGAATTTCTAAAGTATCGAAATTATATGGAAGATATCCAGGCCATTGTAAACCGTGTCACTGAATTACATCGATTCGTCGCTGTGCGGCTTCTTACTAAAATTACTATACGTTCTCTTCGCACAAAAATATACGTTATATAATACAATTTGAATGAATCTGTGCTGCGCTTATCGAAACAGGTCGCGTTGAAGGTATATGCACTAATGTTCATGCATGGTTTTCCATATATAATAATCTCCCCGTTAAAAATAGACACGGCACTTTTTTTTATACGCTCAGATTACACGTGACCTGAATGTGAAGACCGCTCGATCAGAAAGAATTAACGGATCATGAATGTACATTAAATTATCGGAGTCAGGATGTGACGATTTATGCGCGATTACACGTTTACGAAGAACGAGCAGTTTGATCCCACAATCGCGCCAGACTGACAATGAGAAAAAAAAATCGGTTTCACCGTCGCGCGAGAGAGCGGAAGGGAGCTCGACGGAAGAGGGACCACGAGGGGGAAGATTTCACGCTACATCGCCATTATTAATAAACCTCGCGCGCGGCCAACGATGAAACCACCATGCACTACTTTACGGATTGTTTCCGTCTAGGCGATCATCCACGTCCGTCTGGCTCGAACACGCTCTACGCGCGTCACACTTTAAATCTCGCGAGATTCGCAGCTGCGATCGATCTTCGCTAATGCCTGACGAACTTACTGTCAATAATTCTTTGGAATAGATTAAATCTGTTTCGCAAAACGAATTGATGAAAGTATCACGCGGTCGTAAGTCGCCGAATAAATCATCTTCTAGAATTCAATTCGAAAGCAGTTAAAAAATAAAATAAATAATTTACGAAACTGAGAATTAACATCACTAATAACGTCTGTCACCGTCGTGCGTCTTCATGTATATTCAAACGTAGCAACGGTAATTAACAACTATTCGAAAGAAAAGACGAGGCAAAAAGAATGTTGTGAACATACCGACAATTTTAATTGACATTCATAAGAAAGTTGATATATTTCTTCATCTTAGTGAAGATGGATATTCTTTTATAAAGAATATAACAAGAATCGCGAGAAGCAAGTCATCAATAAGAAATATTCTCTCTTTTGCGAACATTCATAATGTTTCTTTTGCTACTTTTTGCCACACTAAAAAAAAAAGTCTGTATGTAATCCATCGCATGCGTGCGGAAAGCAATAAAGAGCCAAGGTACATATCGCCAATCGATTACAGCCGTGTTTATGCGTGAAGTCGAAGTGATTCATGGCAGTTATAAATTGCCGAACCAATGTAAATAAATCTTATAATTTCCTTCGCGTTTCCGCGGGTTTAATTAAAAATTACAAGAATCTCTCGTAAACAAGTCATAACGTGTGACGTCGTCGAAATGACGAATCGGCGCAGAGCTCTAATAATAATGGCACGCATTTGGACGGAGTCGTGAGATGAAATAAATATTTGTAGATTGGCACGGTGCCATCTTCGGGCTCGCCGTAAATCTTTCGTTCATTGATAAAGAAGCGCGACACGATCATCGTCGACCTCTCGTTCGATGTTGACCGTGAATTTGCAAAATCGATCGTTCCGCCGCGAATTGATAATGACTCTCGGGTTCAGTGTGCACCGGATGGTAAGCACGACGATTTCTCGCTGCACAGTTGCGCCGGTCAGGAAGTTTATGCAACACGGTTGACTCAGAGAAACGTCGGTGAAACGTTGGAAAATAATGACGAGTCTTTCGAGGAAGCGTTACGATACGCTTCCGCTCCGATATCAACGAGACCGATTCAATTATAATCCAGCCAAATAAATCACCAATTCAATTTCCGACAAAGTCGAGAGCAACGCTTAAATTCCGCGTGAAGATGAGCGAAGAGTTTAACAATGATTTACAGCTTAATTCGTATAGAAAACGTTACACGGTATGTGTATCGAATATCGACGAAGAATGCGCGGCAAATTCCAAGCTCCTGACGCCCACATCAGGTGATGGCGAACGATCAGTGACAATGAGCAGCAGCAATAACGAACGGGTCCATCGCTTACCTCACGAGTTCGCGACAACGGTCGGTTCTTCCTCCTCGGGCCTTCCTGCCTCAACCGAGATCGCTTCCAGCCGGTCGTCGCCGCCGTTTGCTTTTCCCACCGCGCGCGATCGCGGGAAAGGAAATTATCACTGCGCGCAAGAGGGTGTTGGTTTATAAGAACGGTGTGGGTGTCACGTGTGCGCGCGTGTGCGTGTAGCGTGTGTGCGCCCGTACGGTCCGCCGCGCGTATTCGCCTACTGTTCTCTGCGCCGCGCGCCTCCGCGCCACGTTTCCACTCGCGGGTGTGGTGTGTACGTGGCACCGAGGTGGTATAAGGGACACGACGAGGGTGTGCGTGTTGCATAAAAGAGAGGAGAGGCAGAGGCAAACGGCGGCGCGCTTCGAGACGGTCGACGAACGACTGACGCACGACGACTCGCGGCGCCGACTGGACAGACACACCGTTACGATTCGCATCGCGGATTTCCACACGACCCACCTTTGATCTTTGCCCGTGGACCGACCGCGCGTGTGGTGGACCCTGGGATTTCGACCCGATAACGCCACGCGACCGATCGGAGGTGGAAGTGACGTGCGCGCATACACGAGGCGCCGGGACAGCTGTTCGCGAATCCGGGATTCGCGGAGGGAACGAGGGGGAAATCCCCTCGCGCCACGACTCGCGAACGAATCCAACACGCGCGTCCCGCTTTCCCGAGTAGTCCCGGATGAACTTTCGAAAGCCTCTATCGCTAATGACACTCGAAGCGATCTTGAACGGAGAATACGTCACTTGCTTAAATCATACCCGGAGGAATCGAGGATGAGAATCGCTGATTTTTCTTTCTAAAATCAGCCACTCCTTTTTCCTTTCGCCGTAACGCGCCTATGTAATTTATGATAAAAATAATAGCTACTTTAGAGATATATATCGCTCCCGATGCGCGATAATCAATAATTATGTATGTTTATACAGCATTTTTCGCCTCGTAAATCGTCTAAAGTTTATCAATGTTATCGAACGACAATATAGTTAAAGCCTGTTCGACACGAATTGATAATATCGAGAGATAGTCGAATAATCGATGTGCCGATTATTCACCGTATAGCAATAGTAACACATGCGACTGTCATCAGCCAACCAGGTCGGCGCCTGAATGTCCTCACGGTCGGAGCGTGCTCCACGTCCCAAACCACGATCTAGATCACGTTCGACTGCGTGTACCAATAACACTGCGCCACGCTAAAATCCGGAGAAACGAGTAATCCGAGATATGCCTGCTCACGCCGCGCCGCAACGTCACCAGTCGCTTAGATATATGTATAGGACCGTGGGACAAAGACGAAACGCAGGTATATTTTGTCGACGGATTCTTGTGATCCTAAAGGAAACTCGTGCGTGTGTGTGTGTGGGGGAGATTCTCATCAAAGAAGCCGCAACCAGCGCTAAATAAATTCTAATATATTACAAAATTGCTAATCAGATGCTAAAATCGTTTAAAATATTAATGCTCCCAAGTAAACTATAATTTTACATTATCTGTTATATTTTAATGGTTTCTTAAGGCATTCAAATTATTTAATTAGCACTTTTAGCGTGATTTTTTTGTCGATTAATATATTGCTTGTATATTTATTTGTTTATAATGTAAAGACCAACACACAGCAATTAAATCCTCTTATTACGTATCTAAATATTTGCAAATGTTTTGGAGCATCAAATTTCGAACTTTGGCGCCTAATTAATATAATCAAATAGTATATCAATTTTTTCACGCGTTAGAATTTAGCGTCGATTTAATGGAAATCGTAATGTGAAGGATTCACAGTGGAACATTATGGACAAATCTCATTGTCAGCACATAACAAGTCTTTACAACACATCGTTATTTGTACTAATTGTATACCATTTAGCATATGTATACCGAGAAGGTCAGCATACGTTTGACTAAGAGCATGTAATTCTTCCCAATCTATTTTTCAACGTAACTTTCTCAATATTCATCGACTGACAGTTTTAATTGTAATTATAATAAAACGGCAATTTGCACGACAATCCTGACTCCAACAACTATCGCAGAATATCAGAGAAACTCTCGGCGGTTAATAAATAATTATGTAAAGTCAAACATGCGTTACTTGTCAGTTTATACGTCAAAACCTTCCTACTCCTCCAAAAATCAAATGCCACGTTGATTTGACCGTCAAATAACCTAATCCGACACGCGTCTGCTTATGAATCAGTCTTAAAATACGCCGGCGCGGTATCGCTTCTTCGCGGATCACCCTGTATATATCGAAACATCACGGAAACGTCGCTTACATTCTCGCAGGTCGTGGTTGAGAGATCACTCGGGCAAAGGGCTCCTCTCTCTCTGTCTCTCTCTCTCTCTCTTCTCTCTGCCACGGCGGGGAACTGTCACGTCACGTGCCGGAAGAGTACTCCCGCAGCCTCCGGCCTTCGGGGTTCCCGCGGACGCGCGATCTATCCTCAATGACGCTCGATCCGCAACGCCATCGCCGTCGATCCGCCGGATCTCCCAGCTCGTTCCCGCGCGCACCGCGAGCCGTACTCCGTCGGCCCCGTGTCGTATTTACACGTGCGCCACGCGACCGGCCACGGGTACCCGTACGCACTGACGCCGCTGCGGGATACGAACCGACCTGGTGATCAACGCCGCGGCCATCTTGCCGCTTGAAACTAGCGGGATCGATGGGACGCCACGAGCGTCTCCTGTCGGCGCGGCGCGACGCGGCCGCGGCACGGCTTTTTCTCGGTCAGAGGCGTTTTTCTATTTTTTGTTTCCTTCTCGTTTTCTAGCCGATTGTGACACAAACGGTTTGTTCTCTACGGCTGAACTAGTTTGCGACACTCTTTGCATTTGAAGTGAAATATAGATTTGATATATCTGGCAAAAGCGAGAGTTAGAGAATTTCTAAAAAAAAAAAAAAAAAAAAAAAACAATTCCAGTGCAGAAAACAGACCTAAAGGTAAACGATCCCAAAGGCGGAGCCTATAATTAGATTTGTTCCACGAGTTCCACATGAGTTTCCGAACACGTGGCGACGTCTCTTCTCTGTCGTACGAACGACGGAGATTTCGCCGCGCTCCCTTTAATTTCTTCCCTGTCAAACAGCTAATTCAAAAGCAGTCGTGTCCTGGATTTTCACCGCCGCCGCGTCTCGGCCTGTCACCCTTGACCTCGCTCTAAAACCGTGAGCGCGCGATTGGATATTGTATTTGTCAGAATACCTACATAAACAAGGCGCATCATCGAAATCGTCAAAATATTCAACGAAGAACGATAACACACGTTCACGGCATTTGGCAAACACCGACTTTGAAAAACACTGTCGAAAGCGCGTGCTAGTGAGTAAATAAACGTACGCCGTGTTTTCATTATACTCGCAATAAGCTCTATGGATTTCTCTCGAGAATTTCAATCTTCTGAAAAAAAAACCGAAGCATTTTTCCGTCGAAAAGTCATATGTATTTTCAAAATAGAAGAATGAAAGAATTCGTTGTCCTTAATTCCCGGTCATTCGACTCCAAATTCTCCCTTAATTTTCAACTAAATTACGACGATTTTCAAACACGACCTTTTTTCATTTTGCCTTTCCGTTCTTTCTCTCTCATGATTATACTGTATCATCGCGATCGTGACCCCCTTTGCGGGCCGCAATACGGTCACACGCCGGTCGCTCGCGAAGTCGCACACGTGTTGGTCGAAAGGTAGCGCCCAAGGCATCCGTGCTCCGAAAATATCGCGTTGCAACGGAACGTAAAATCAACCGTGAAAGGAAAAGCGACGCTCACAATTGACGAGAGGACCGTTTACGCGCGTTTATTTACGCGGGGAATTACATATACATCAGCGTACACAATAATAATCTACGCGCCTACTTCAATTTGCGATTGTTATTACTACAGCGATCAGCGTGTGATAATCTACCTCCTCCGTATACACGTCGTCCCGCAAAAGATACACGTCTGTTTCATACGTTCCGTACGTGCACGCGTCGAAAGAGCAAACACCCACGACTTCTCTCAGCGGGATCGTTTCTCGAGAGCGCGTTCCGCGCGTTTCTCGTTTATAGTAGAACGTCGGTTAGTTACACAAACGAGAGGCACGCACACACCGCACAGTGGGCAAAAACATCGCTATAACATTCCGCTTAGCGTGACGAGGAAAAGAAAAAACGTACGTTTCGACGATACTAAACATATAAATCGCGGCGCGCTTCTAATCGGAGCGCAAACCGGACTCCGTTCAACTTTTCGCGCAGCGGGAATTCTGGCCCGGTGAATGGATGGGTTTACGTACCTTGACTCGTATCAAAAAAGTTTACGTTCGCACTCTCGCCGCTCGAGAGAACGCTCGATTTACTCGGTGGTCCGAGACTCCACGGTTTCACGATGCCTCTGGCGACGGTTTGCGCGTCAGTGTCGGGCAGGACTCATCGCACTTATAACGTTACAACGCGCCGTGTCGGATGTGCCGCACTCGCGTCTCTCTCGCACGAGCCGTTTGGAAGCCCGACTCGGAACAGCCGGTACGCGGCCGCGGGATCTCGATATAGACGGCCGGCCCGCGCGCGGACCAATCGGACGGCGAGGCGCAGTGGGCGGGGATGTGGCGTGATCCTCGGTGACGTCACGCGCGCCGGCCTGAGCGATCGATAACTTGAAACTCTCTCGCGCGCGCTACGTTCGCACGAATTTCACGCTGACGCCAGATTGCACCGGCGATCGATGCCATGAGCGTGTGTACGTAGAGGCTGTGCAATCGCGCGATTCTCTCTTTCCCGTTCGATCGAACCACGAAATTCGTCGAGTCGCGCCTCGTCTGTCAGCCGGATGTCACCGCAATTATATAATTGATGAGAGCGCGCCTCTCTCGGTGGACTCGACGTCGCGTTCTCGCGCTCTCTTAATATTTGAATGCAGAGTCCGTTTTATCAGGGGAGACAAGATATTGCAGTAGATGTGTTTATCGACGACGCGTAAAATCTATATCGCACCGTACGTGAAAAAAGTAGGTCTCCTCGTCGGAACGCTAATGCGTCTTGAATTACAGAATATTAAGCCAGCATTAGCACGCATGATGAATGTTTTCTTTTTGCACACGCTACCGACAATCGTGCAGAATATAATTGTTCCTGGATTACTTGCGTTTCAGTAAATAACTAGAATTGCACCAGAGAGAGCAAAATTTCTAGTAATTTATTAAAACGCAAGTAATCCAACAAGAAAATATCGTGTGTACCGCTGAAATGTTAATAAAAAAAAACTTCTGATCTCCATGCAAACTGTGTAAACTAAAGATATTCGCGTACCGCATTCAATAAAAATTCCTGACGAACGGTAAAAGATGAAATATACATTCGAACACCATATAAAAAATAGCGTCTATAATTTCAGAATGACAGAATAACAAAGATAATTTGGACATTATTTGCACGATACAAAATTATATTATATGTATAATAATACTTATTATATCACATTTACATAATATAAAAAATAAACTCGAGAAACGTTTTACAATATAAAGAAAAAAAAAACGCGAGTTCCTACAGTCCAATTTTTTTTTAATTTCCGTACAAATTCTGACAAATGTTACAACGAAATTGAAACAACTATGCAATTAAACGTTAATCAAGAAGGATTAATCGCCTGGTCTGGAATGGATTGCGTCACAGCGCGAGGAAATATATATATATATATATGTTTGCGCAGTAGAATTATATAGTAGATCCGCTGGCAGGATTAACATTTAAACTTTATTAAAACCAACAACACAATATAACAAGAGCAACAACAACAAGTCGATGTACGCCTGAAACACGTCATCGGAGCCCGCGACAACTGCATCCCTCGCTCTTTCTCGCGCTCTCGCCCCCTTATATATTCTCTCGTTTTTCTTACGCAAAAAAATCAACCTGCCTCCCGTCTGTCTCACCCTACCACGCCGACCACGTCGAGCTCGAGCGATCGTCACCGTGCGGACGTGCGAGCGCCTGGAGACCTGCGACATTAGTAGTAACATTTGAACACACAAGGATTAAGTTGAGAGGCATTACCGTCGGGTTGACGATTGACGACGACCGTCGCAAACACAGAGAGTGAGAGAGAGAGAGAAAGTGATTAGAGACACATGAAAATCCATTCGCGCGGCTAACGATCGGCCGGACGGCTCCTCGCGGGCGCCAGGACGATCGCTAAAAGCAATGCAAGGAGACAAGCGAGCAAGAGCGTGGTGCACGTCGTTACCGGGACGGTTGAGAGGTTAGTGACAACACGGGGGGCGCGCCGCGTCTCGTCCCCGACGGCGGCGCCGCGCGATCTCGTGCGATCAAGCACGCACACTGTGCGCTCACCTTCGCGGCGGCTCGCCCGGCCTCGCGCCTCGTCTCCGCCGTCGCCGCGCGCCTCGATCCCGCCGGGCAGTACCACGGTCTCCTCCTGATCGCGTTCCCGCTCCTGCGGCTCCTGCCTCAGCGCGTCGGCGATCAGGCTGATCCTGCGGATCGCGCCGTCCTCGCTCTCGTCGTCCGCGCTGTCGAACGGCGGCGTCGCCGCGTCGTCGGTCCGCCCGCGTTCGGCTACACCCAGATCCCCGATCTCCCGCTCGTGCTCGTAGAGACTGGCCGCGGCCAGTTGCAGATCGCGAACGGCCCTGGATAGGTCCAGCTCCGCGTCGGCGGTGGAAACAGCGTCCTCGAGTAGGCTGGCGTTACCTTGGTCCCCCTCATTGCTCGTCAAGGAGTCGCCATTCGAAGAAGAAGCTACGCGAACGATCTCCTCGAGTCTCGAAGTCTCGACGCTGCTGGAACGATCGTCGCTCGTTAGATCGCCCTGCAGGCTGTACGACGTGGAGCTTCTGCGCGTGCCGCCGCCGCCGCCGCCGCTTTGGTCCTCATTCTCGGAGCCACCGCCGCGAGACAGCGACGGACTTGTTTTACGGGCGGACAGACGACTGTCGCGTAGGCGGTCGGCCACGTTCTCGAAGGCCTCCGCGATCAGCTTGACGTTTTCATCCGCCACGCGTAGATAGAAGTCAAGGTTGTTGGCTGCCGGCGTCGAGCTCGACGACGTGGACCTCGTGGAATTCGAATTCGTCGAGCTCGCAGTCTTCTCGCTTTCGACATTCCGCTCGTCGTTGGCGCGCCACGGTGACCGGCTACCCGAGGAGCGTACGCGTACCCTCGCCGGGGGAGGTTCGTCGACCTCGAGTCTGACGTTGTCATTCGATTTATCGGCAGTGGTGACGATCACTCCGGAATCGTCCGCGTTCGGTGATACGATCGGCGACGTTGCCGCGTCGTCGTCGTCGTCGTCGTCGCCTTTTATCAAATTAACCAAATCTTGGCAGAGGCGACTGTACGCGGTGAAGTCCGTCTCCGTGCTGCGACCGTTATTGGCTGCCGAAACGTTGGAATCCGACGGCTGCAGGTACTCGTGCCAAAAACTGTCGTTCAGGATGGCCTTTGAAGACAGCATGGCGTCAGATAGCTCCGCGATACCCGACTCCTCCCTCTCCTTTTTGGGACTCTGCCGCGTCGTTTCCGGTGATACGTAAGCGCATTGCTTCTTCCGGTACGCGCCCATCGCCGGATGATTGCCGTTGATATCGATAGCCCCTCCTTTAACCGCCTGCAGCTCCTTCCACCTGTGCGCGTCGTTATCGGACAGCTCGCCGTCGCTCACGACCCGCCGGAGGTGCTCCGGTCGCTCGGACGTCGCGGCGAAGTTCCTCGTGACGTCTTGGATCTCGTCCCTGATGGCGTCGAGGCTGGGCTCGCGTTGCAGGTGAATCCGATCGTGATTGATCAGCCCGTAGAGATTGGCCGACAGCGATCTGACGGCGCGTTTCTTCCTCATGCCGCCCGCGGCCTCCTGCAGCGGCGGCTGCTCCCTCGCGCCGTCGGGCTTGCCCTCGACGCTCCGCGTCGCGACGGCGTCCTTCCTGAGGGCTCGGTAAGCCAGATCGTCCGTGACCACGTCGGGCTCGCACTGCGGTATGTACAGGGAGCGCGGCTGCTCGGACTTCGTCGGCGTCGTGTGCAGGTAATCGCTCTCGGTCGCCGCGCTGACCGGACCGAGCGGTATGCCGAACGGCGGCTGCGGATCGATCACCCGCAGCGTGTTGTTGGCGTGGCTTATGCTGCGGAAGACCACGTCGTCGCGAGTCACGTCCGGCTGGTCGCGACGGGACGGATAGGCGGCCGACGACAGGCGCGCGAGATCGTCGGCCGAGTCTCTGCGCGAGAGGACGGGCGAGGCGATGAGATAGCTGATGCTGGACAGAGTCGACTGTCCGGCGATGTCCGAGAGCGACGTGGGCCTCTCCTTGGGGTGCATCCGCCGGTAGGCCATGTCATCCTTGGTCCGGTCCGGCGAGTCCGGCGGCGGTGCGATCGCCGTCGCGTCGTCGAGCTCGCTTTTACCTTGCCTCTGATTGAACTCCTCCATACTTCGGCGTTCCGCGCGATCCAGCAGATCCTCGTCGCCGAGGCGGAGGCTGTTGTATATCGCCTCCAGCTCGGACAGCGCCTCCTCGAGGTTCCTCGAGCTTCTCCGTCTCTCCCGCAGGGCCTCCTCGGTCGGCGTCGCTTCTCTGTTGTTCCTCTCTCTCTTGTCCCCGGCCTCGACCGTCGTCGCACGCGTCGACGGGGGGGTGATGATACGCGAAACACGCTGCTCGCAGGGAGATCTTCCAGATGACCAATCGGACGCAGATGCGTGCGACGAGATCGTCTCGTGATGATGATGTTTACTCGCCTCGCAGATGTTCGCTGATTTATTCCTGGCCTCGCGCACGCGGTAATTCGCGTCGCTGCGATTGAGCTGATCGTTACGAATATTTCTGCGCCTCGTTGTCTCGATCTCTTTGTAGGCCGACATCTCGTTCGCGCGGTGATAACTCGAGTTGTACTTGTTGTTCACGCGCTCCAGCGAATTACGGAATTCCGCTGTGGGACTCGACGCGAAGCTTCCTAGCTCGCGTTCCGTCACGTCGCGCCAGGCGACCTCGTTGTTCGACCCGTACGACCGAAAGCCCCTCATCCAGTCCTCGGATCTCGGCGTTCCGCCTGCGGCGCAAATCTTATTGTCCTCTTGCTTAAAGTAATTTGGCACATTTTGGTGTCTGTTCGTCGGATAGGAACTGTAACCGAACGAGCGATAACGAGGATCCCTCGGCGGCGGCACGGGCGGCTGATTGTCCGGATTGATTAGTCGCCGGCGATCGACGGCGTGGTCGAGCGCCGATTCCGGATAGTGGCACGCGCCCTTCGCGGGATACGTGAAGAAGTTGCCGGCTCGATGTTGGCCGTCCGCGTTGTACACGTCGTCGCTGAGATGCCGCGAGATCTTCCGGTAGGTGTTGTTCTGATTCAGATCCGTGATGTACTGCCCCGTGGAGTATCTCCTGACGTCGCCCCAGACCTCGGGACGCGGTAAACTCGCGCGTTCCGCGACTTCCCGCAGACTTTCCGCGGAGGATCTCTGCTGAGCCGATCGGCCGCTCGAGTACGCGGCCGATCGGCGCGGCGGCGGGTGCACGGGCGGCCGACACAGTCCGTTCGCGTCGGCGTAAGCAGTCGCGCGTACCTTATCCTCGACCCGATCCGTGTAGTCCGTGGAGCACCTCTTGCTGTACAGGTCGTTCAAAGTGTCGCCGCTGCCGTTGCCCTCGTCGCGAGACAAGCGCTTGATGTAACGCTCCGTACGTGCGGCGCGGGTTCGCCTGTTGCACATGTTGCTCCTCTGGCCGCTCCCGTTCTGCGCGCCGTCCGCGGCGACATGGAATCGGTTTAGCGAGCTGTTGGACCTGCTGCAGCGGTCCTCGTCGGAGCTGCTGCCCGCGCGCAGATGATCCCTCTTCGCCTCGGCCCGCGCCTTCAGCTTGTGCCGCCGGAACTTCTTGCCCAAGCCGTCCAACGAACCGTCGCTGCTGCGCGATTGCAGCGAGTCTCGGCGAGAGTCCGTCGCGTGGCGAGCGTCGCTCTCCACTCTCGTCCGCTTATCGCGCTCCGAATTGTTCTCTATCGAATGCAAGATAACACCGTCGACTCGCCTGTTGAACCGCGTGGGCTTCCTCGGCGTTCTCTTGCAGTAGACGATCTCCTCGTCGTTGGAGGAACTGTCGTAATCTTTTATCGAAGATATCCGTCGGAGAATCCCCCCCAACGACCACTTCTTGTCCTTCTTCTTATCGGAGGCACTTGATACCGCGTCGCAGACTGGTAAACGTCGGGTCGGAGGCAGGAGGCCGTCCATCCTCAGTATGTCTTTCTTGCGCAGCCCCTTTTTCTCCATAGTTCGATATCAAACTTCCTTGACGTTAAAATATCTGAAAGAAAAGAATATTTGTGTTTATCTTGCAATTTAAATGCCCATACGCGCGGTGACACGTTATGATACATTACAGCGCGTCTCAATGGACATCTGCGAAGCACGGAATGTAATGATTTTATTTTAGAAACCAAACTTTACACCCCTATCGATTTCGTAAATAAATTTGTAACGCTAATTGAGGAAGTCGTATATAAACAAACGCACGGAATACTTTACAAAAAGAATAATATAGAAAGTTATTAATGTTTCATACATTCCCATGCATTGTTTTCGACGGGCGCGCATTCACGCGAGGGAGCACAATGCAACGCTCTCGACGACCACGTGCTCCGGTACTATCGTTCTTCGGATCTCATTGTGTCAAACGCTCTTTTCAACGGAAAATCCACGTCGCGAGTATAAAGAGCGTCCCGCGAGACGATGTCTCTTTTGACACGCACGCCACACGCATATCTGTGAGATTACTCGCTCGGCATTCTTAGAAAACGTCCGAGCCTCGCCGATAAAACTCGCCTCGCGTACGCGCGCGCGCTCCGATTATAAATACACCGTCGCTACCTTGCTGTGCACTAACCTCCACGATGTCGAAATCATCGACGTGACTGCTTCCTCCGCAGGCGCCCGGATCGTCCGCCGAGTCGCGAACAATGAGTCACCGGGACGGCCAGATACTCCGATCATTTGAAGCCGCGACGAGACGCCTGCAGCTGCTACTGCTGCTGCTGCATCAGCTGCCGCACGCGATCGAGGCGAGGTCAGTGTGCTCGTCGTCCCGGACGGGCCCGGACGATAACCACAATAACGGGCGTCTCGTCGATACACGCGCGCTCCCCTCGTCTCTCTCTCCGCGCGAACGGATCTTTGACAGCTTCCTCGCCGCCGCGCTGCGCGTAAACGCGATCTCGATCCACTCGCCGCTCCAATTTCACTGATTCGACAGCGACTCTCCCGAGCGTCCGCGAGCAGGCCCGAGTGACCTCGAAACGTCCGTCTGTCTCACACAGGAGGAGGAAGCGTGTATCTCGACTCTCGGAGCAACACACGCGGCAGCACGGCCATTATACTCGGGGGCCTCGGTGCGAGCGTCGCGCCAGCGTTTGCAAAAGGCACGACGACGACGACGACGCGACGGTAGACGGTACCACCAGACCGGCTGCTCACGCCGAACTTACGGTTCTTGCTGCGAGGAGAGAAGCGGAGCAGCGATTCGTCCTCGGGAACCCCACCCATGCTCGCTCGCTCGCTCGCTCGCTCGTTCTCCACGCGCGAGCTTTGTGTAAAAATCCTCGGGCGAGGCACCCACGCGTCGTCGCCACACGCTGCACACGACCGGCTGTACTGTGGACGGCGTTAATGATAGAATGACGAATTTCTCTTTCTTTCTCTCTCTCTCTCTCTCTCTCTCTCTCTCTCTCTCTCTCTCTCTCTAGCGCATTCCCCTCTACGAAGATCATTTCAAGTCGGTTGGGTAGAGTTCTATACTCACGGGTGGTAGTGACAGTCTTTCAGAAGAGATTATACGAAAAGGTACATGCAACTTTACGTAAATTAAATTAGAATGTATTTGCAATTTATGCATTGCTTGTGATGGAGCTATAACTTAATTAAGTTACTTTGCATCATTTAATAGTTCATTTGTTTTCAAAAATAATGATCTTTACTTGTGACTACGTTTTTTAAATCAATCTTCTAGGCAGCAACGAGACAATATTATTTAAAAAATAATGAAAAATAAACTTGCGAATTTTTGCAAGTGTTTCGCAAACCTCTAATAGCCTTTATTAATTTCACTCTCTGATATCTATTTTTAAGTAACTCCTAGAGACCGTAAGCCAAATATCTAATCTTTACGAGATAATATTATACATGTGCCTCTATACTTGGCACAAGTATTGTCACTGTCACATTCATTATATACGATGATACGAGCCAATATGATTGGAATCTCTCAGGGACAAGTAGAATGAACAGATACAACTGTGTGAGTGTTAAGCTTTTTCGTTTATTGAAAATATCTCTGTAAAACGTGTGTATATTGTGGCCGGGCGAGGTAAGCCGACAATACCGAATCTTCGACAACGAAATGAAATCGGGGTAGCAAACGAAGAGATACGGTGAAGACATTGAAAACAATATAGTCGATCGATATTTCCTTTTTTTTTTTTTTAGTATCTACATAAGTAAAGGACGAATCAACGATGCATTCGCTTACTTTTTAATCTTATTATTAATTATATTATGTATAACAAAGCGGTAACAACTTGTTAATTGTAACTATTATGATAATAATCGTTTACTTTATATAATTACAATAATATAATGTGTAAGGATCGTTAACTAATCGATAACAAACGAATCGTATCCTCCTCCTTTTCTCTTCTCTTATATTCCTCTTTTTCCCTTCCTCATCGTATATTCTTCGTTTCATCGCGTTCCTCCTTTCTCGCATTCCGTTTTGACCCAATGTCGATCGGTTAGCGTAAATCGAGTTTTTATTATTAGTTTTTTTCCGCTCATCCCCCTCTCTTTTTTTTGTATTAATTATTTAACAACAGTTTTCTTTTATCCTCTTATTATATTTGCTCTTTATTTAATTTAATAATCGTAGTAAACATAGTAATTATTTATAATATTGTGCAAATAACCCATATATTTATATTTATATTTATATTTATATATATATATTTCCTTTTTTGTTTATTTATTCTGTTAATAAAAGTGTAAGTAATGAATGTCGTATTCTCAACGGAGGAGCTTCTCTGTGATCTCTCTCGTTTTCGCGAGCGCCACAAACACCAAACACCCGATCCGCGTATCCACACACAAATACGCGCGAGCGCGTACACACACACACACACACAACATACACGCACACATACATACTCTCACTCACTCATACACACACATATATATATACACACACGTACCGCAGATTTGTTTGTCTCTTTAAATGGACGATCCTTCGCGCATATTATTTCTTTTTTTTTATTCTTTAAATACTCGACAGCTAGCTTCTTCGTTAAAATTGGATTCTTAGCACGTTTTTTTCTACCTAGCTTGATGACCCATGGCAGTTGCTTGTTCATTTATACTGGCCGACAGGCTCCGTAGCTTGACACTTTACAATGCTTTAGCCCAGCGCTCTAGGATTTTTGTTTTCATATTTATTTATTTAGTTAATCATTTTTTTTTATTTCATTAATATCATTATTTATTATCTCACGACGTAGGATTAATGATTCGAGAGTATCGAGACACTACAAAGCCCTTTTTTTTCTTGCTATCCGTTTAAGAAAATTTTCGTGCATTTACGATTAGTTAACTTAGTTTTTCTTTTATACAATGCGTAACGGCAGTATCGTCCTCGGAGAAAGTACGTTAAACCTCGTCTTACCTCGCTTAACGAAGGAAAGCCCTATTATTTTTTATATACTTTTTTTTTTAAATATCTTACAGCCGTCGTCGCGCAAAAGCTTGTATCTTTAATATACATTTTTGGAAAAAAATCAACGAAAAATCAACGAAGCACACCACGCACACTCTTCCATCCCCCTCCCCCTTTGTGATTTGTGACATCGCCTTTGTCGTCGGTCATCATCGTCGTCTTCGTCACTGTCCATGTCGTTCTCGGTACCATCCTCGTCGTTGCAAAACGTATTGATCAAACGAACGTTTTTGTGTCTATATGAACTACTTTCCTCCCGCGATATTACTGATCGATTCTCAAGCGATCTTCGCGAGACGCGTACGAAAGGACGGCGACAGGAATGCCTTTTAAAGAAAGATTGTCAAATGACTAATCTATATGGAATACATATCTCAGATAAGAAGCATATAGATGTGATATATCTCGATGAAACAAACAAGAATATTCGATGTCTGAATCATTTTGTACATGCGATATAATTCATCAAGTTAGTTGTTTATCAGAAGAACGAGAGAGTGTGAAACATTTCTGAAAGTTCTTGGAAATGTTTGCACGCTTCTCGACACACTGCGTTCGCAATTTTGGCGCTATCTTCACCTTTCGTAAGAGACAGTCCCCTCGCGGTCCTCCTCGATTCGGTACCACGGACGAAGTGCTAATCGACGCCGATGAAACGCGTTGCGATCGATTTATTGGGGGGGAAGTCGCGATTGAACGCGCGGCGTCCTAACATTCCATCCGCGTCGACGAATCGACGCGCATCGCCGACGCTACTTCGGCCGAAAGCGGATTCACGGCGGTCTGCATTCCAAGATTATCTCAAACGAGTCCTTCAAAGTGAATCCACATTGCGTAACGTAGATCGCTCGCGTACAGACGTATCGCCGGCAACGAATTGTCCAGCGTGCGCTTGACGATCCGAAAATCTTCGTAATCTTTTAATAATACTCTCACGGCGTGTCTTTATTTCGCGATCACGATAATTATGCAAATTCGTGTTCCACGAAACGTCCCGACGCGGATTACACTCGAGATGAGTCAGCGCTGAATACACGCCACGACGGATCTATCGCGTAGATTATATATGATGGAGCAAAGCGCGCAGAAATAGAAGACGCCTCTAAACTCCTTTCGTCGTCGTCGCCGCTCGCGCGTGATTCATTTTTTTCCCCGCTCCCCCATCCCCCAGTCACTTTGGATGACTCATTCGCGGACGATATCGTGAAAAGCAAAAACCGCCTGGCAAATTCGCCTTTGTGACGGGCGCGCCTCTCCGTCGCGCGCCTCCACCGGGGAAGGACGATGCACCCGCGATGCTAATCGCCAAGGAGGCGTTTTCCGGAGATCGCGGCCGTTCGCGTTCAGCTGTCCGTCGCCTATGTTATTCCGTATATACAAATCTACATCCCGGAACACGTACACAGACACCGGCCGCGGCCGGTTAAACGGCCCGGCCGTAAAAGCTCTCTTCGCTTGGAGACATTATAATACTTATACGTGCGTTTAAAAACGTTTCATTGGCGTTCAACGGACCCGTTCTCGCAGGCCGCTCCTGCAAACGTTAGGTAAAGCCAAAGTGACGTACACAACCGAGATTACGTCCGCCTTTTTCTATTTCTGTCTCTAGAAGGAGGCGGTTGGAATCGCTGGAAACGGTCTCTCCGCGAGGAGAGTTAACAGAGACGCGTGTCGGATGTAGATTCGTACCGCGACGGATCCGTACCCTCTCTCTCTTTCTCTCTCTCTTTCTCTCTCTCTCTCTCTCTCTCGCGTCTCGACACGTAAAGCACAGGGTTGCCCCACGTACGACGAATGTAGTATCGAAAATATATTATTATTACGAGTGTAGAAGCGATTTGATTATTATCGAATTATTTGCACATATTACAACACG